TCTTCTTGTTAAAATAAGTTCCTTTCTTCGTGGTGATTACTCTCTCAACAGCAACACATGCATTCAACCATTGATCCATATTAAGACCAATGCGTAGAAGAAGATCAATTGAAATACACTGAAAATATAGAAATGATCGATTCATGTTATACGATATTTGTGCAACAATGAGTATCCAGAATTTCAATGCAAACATAGTCATAGTAAATAGAGTCGTGATTGATGATCCCAATAGATAAAAGCCACAACCTATATGTCGTGTTTCTTTGTTTTTAAACGTAATTACCGATAGAATACCATTGATAAGTCCTGTTAAAGTCATAATCATCGTTAGTACCATGCTCATTTGTACTATAGGTGGCTGTTGTATAATATTAATATGTGGTAAAATACGATAACCTAAAATGCCATCGAGTGAAATACCAAATCCACTTGAACTAAACTGACATCGTGTTCCATAAAAGCATCTAGGACAAAGACACATGAACATTTTCGGACAAAGTACACGATCTTGCAAACATTCTCCTCCATTTTCACAGTTTTGTCGTCCAAAACAATCAAGTTTTTGCTTGGGATCAAATTCAAAACAATTGGCTACACGGTGATGGCCGAAGTTATCACACGTACAGAAATGCGTATCATCATAGAAACAAGACAATGATGGTGATGTTTCTTGGCATGGTACATGATAGTATTTAATGCGACGAATAAGATGTAATTTGACAATAGTATCATTTAATATTTCGCTTAAATGTTTACAACGATCTGATGGATTGACTTTTGTTACAAAAGTCGCTGACTGATTATAGAACTCTTGAACAGCAATTATATATATGTCCTTGTCGAATAATTGAATTAAAGCAATGTTGAAAGGATATGCCGAGTGAATGGTGACTACATTTTGATGGAGAAGAATCGTTTTGAAAACACTGCCATTATGGTATAACTTGCCGTAGGTTCTTTCAATAAAATGAACAATCATGGATTGTGGCAATTGAATATCTTTGTGAAATGATACTGTAATATTCGTGTCAGGTATTGCGCATCGGTATCCACTAAAGCCTTTCGCGCAAACACAAAAGAAGCCATCGGGGAATGAGAAATGATTATCAGTAGGCATGCACTGACCGCCATTAAGACATGCATTTTTATTAGATTGGCAAATGGTATTTTCAATTAAACATCGAGCACCAAATTTATACATCGGACAAACACAGATAGATCGATTATTTGGTAAAACCCCAATACATAACGAATCGGATGAACACATACAATTATGTGGTATAGTACAGTATCGTCCAGACCATCCTTGATTACAACGACAAAACGTAGTACCTTTAGGATCTTCTGAATATCTGATGCATTGACCATGTCTACATAATTGATTTACACAAGTTTGAATATTATTGTCTATGCGTGGAATGGAAAACTGAACAGCAATACGATGTACAGGCAGAAAAGGAAACTTAATTGGTACGAGAAAGCTTCCTCGATAAGTTAATGAAATCGTTTCATAGATATCAATGTGTATCGAATAGTGCATTGTATGATTTTTTGGTCGAGTGGAATAAAGTAAATAATTATTGTATTTGGTGTGACAGTCTTGCAAGTACTGATAGGTTAATTTTTGATATGAATGAATAATTCGCTCATCACTATCATCAATAAGTGAAACTATAATAGAAAACATTGTTTGCCAAGAATCAGAATATGCATCATAGTTCGTGGTGAGACTAACTCGTTGATTCTGATATTGACAAATATTACCATAAAAACTTGGTGGACAGAGACACGTGATATCGGTCAAGTTTTTTTCTCTATCAATCCAAACACGTAAAGGAATACCACGATGACAACGTTGGCTAGATCGATGAGTACTTTCGATGAAAGATGAAAATGAGACTCTTGTATCTGTATGTTTGATTGAAGTTTTGATTTCATCAAATGGAAAATGCACTGTACGTATTGTATCCTTCTCGGAAAAGCGTCTACGAAGAATATTTTCGGCATTAGAAGGAATTCTTTTATAGTTTCCGTTACAAATAGATTGGACTGTAGTAAAATTATGATGTCTATAACAATACATTGTATCACCTTCGTGGTTGCACAGGTTGAAGTCAATGCATTTTTGTTGACACATTATACCAAGTAAAGAAGTGTAATTCTGACAATAAAGATTATTTTGATTGTAAATATCGTTATTCGATTGACATAATCTTGGCTCATCAGCACCTTCGAGACAATCGATCTTTCCATCATTGGCTTTTTCAAGAGGCAAACACATAGGTTGATTTGTCTCCAACGATATACAAATGTGATGATGCAATGGGCATTGCAATGATTGCGATGGTTCACAATCAACTTCATCGGCTCCATTCCAACAATTCCATATATAATCACATCGAGTAAGAGTATTATTGCACTGCCATAGGTCACATTCAGTTTCATCTGTTTCATTTCGCCCATCAACAGTGATCGGTAACAGCTGTGTTTCTCCATCACAAATGGCTTGAAATGCTATATGTCTTCTAGCTTCGTTTAAAACCATAAATTCATCATCACATAAACCATCTTCATTACATCCACAATCACAAAAAGAATTCTCGATCTTTTTATAATCAATGCATTTATTTGTTGATGTACATGTAAAAACCATTGTAAGTTCACCTTTTAAACATAGATCATAATGTAAACTTGGTTGTTCATCATCTCCATAATCGCAATCCAATAGACCGTCACCAATACGATTCTTCGTAATACATTTCGACGAATTAGTACATTGATACATAAACGAATTGTTACAAATTGCAAGATTATTATTTTTGACAATTGTATTGCATTTATAGAGTTGTCTGAATATGGGTTTGACATATGCATCCACCCAATTATCACTTTCTAATTCAGAAAAAATCAATGGAAAATCTTCTGACCGATGACATGTGGTATTATGAAATAACAATAATGTTTTGTTGGTGGAGAATCCATCACATAGTTGTTCATTGTAGCATACATATTGCGGTGGTAAACTATTAGTAACTGCTTTTAAAGCAGCTTGTTTCGTGTAAGCTAAGTAAATATGGCCAAATAATATTGGAACATTTGGAATATAGAATATGTCTGGACAAGTGTCATTGATTATTTCTTTGCATGTTCTATTAAGACATATGTCACGACATTTTGAATGTGATGAATCAGGAATTCTGAAGTTGCATCTGAATGTAAACCAACAATCATCGGATATTGAGTTTGATTTGTTTAAAAACATAGCTTGCAAGATGAGATGATCACGTTGCTTTAAACATGAAGTTGTGAATAAATTTGAATTATCTTTGTCTTTCGGACATCGCGTATCTTCAAATGTAAATGATGGTCCACGTATGTCATCTTCAGGACCATAGCCCTTCCCATAAGATTCGTCTGACTGATCGATACACTCGATAGATTTACGATCTTGAACAAATAGATGTGGTATACATTCTCCATTCTTACATCGAAATTCATTCTCTTCACATTTATTGACTTCAAGTTGCCAGCAATGTTCTTCATCGATTCCATCATTAAGACAATCGATATGTCCGTCACAAATTTCCGTCCAATCAAGACATGCCAAGTTTGAACCACGATTACATTTCAAATGAGTATAACATGTCAAAGTCATTGGTAGATATTCTTCTCGATAGAAATTTTTGATGATCTCGTACAATGATGAACCATAAGGCATATAAATATCCAATGAATATTGACAAAGTGGACCAAATCTTGGTAACGTACAATTGTAGAATAATTTTGTTGCTATTGATGGCGATTTATTTGAATTTGAACGTTGATCCAAATAGAACTGATAATGTTCAACAATATCCATGGGTGCTGACCAGAGATATAATTGTTTACTTGTAATATTTCGCTTGTAGAGCTCAGCGAAAGTAAGTCTTTGATCGAAATTATTTTCTCGTATATTCCATTTTGATGGCCATTCACTCATACAGTAGGAAATTATCTGCTGAGGAGGCCATACAAACCATGTCGGAGCAAAAACATGAAGACAATCATGTTGCAACGCAGTATTACTTTCACTGACTCTTATCCAGTCTGTTAGATCAAGATTGATTTGAAGTAAAGAGGTCATCAAATGTAATAGTATGAACCAGACTAGCTTTCGAAAGAGTACCATTACCCAACTATTTAAAAAAATGAATAGAATAGACGATATTCATATATTTCTAGTAGTTGCTATATCATTTGTTTTCTTTCTCTCGAAAAAATCCTTTAGAATGTTTCTTCTTTTTTTTTATCAACAACGAAATTCAATGTTGAATAAACTGGTTTGTTCCGTTATTTTGTAAGTAAATTTTTAACTTTGTACGATGTCATGAAACAACACCGGATGACAACTCACATCTGGCATGATTTAGGTCGCAACTACGTCAAAGACAGAAACTATAAGCATTACATTTGTGCATGTATGTTTGTTGCAAATGTTTGACTAAATATTTTAATTAATATAACATACTGCTTTCAGGCGTATTCAAAAGATATTTTTTTTTNATAGAATCAAAATTGATCGACAACAATTTACCTGTGAATCCAATGATCGCCATCATCAAGTTCAACTCAAATCAAGACACATACCCATCGATCCAATACTACTGTTGAATGCTCAAAGAAAATATTGTTGTCGTTATTCCGTTGATCTAATCCATTCGAGAAGATTGACTAAAATTCCTGAAGGAAAACAACCGTTTCCCGAGGAGATTTTTCCATCAACCAACCATGACGAAAATCCTCTCAGTGATATCGCCAAGTTCTTCAAGCAACAGTTGACAAATAGTTGGGAAAAGTTTCAGTCCGAGGACGAATTTCGACAAGACTATCTATCCGTGGAACAAATCAAACAACGTCTGCATTCAACTCGTCAAGAATCTGCTCAATTGTGGAAAGAATTGATTCGATTGATTAGAACAGACGACGAACTACTGTTTGACACTGGTTTAGCATTACGAATGACTCCATCCATTCTCGTTTCTCTTCTTCATCAAATCTGGTTAAACGAAGAAGAACAAAGACATAAGAAATCATTCGATTTACCGAAGAGACAAAAGGTTGAACGATCCACAGATTCATTTCTAACACCAGAACAATGTATCCTGTTAGGTGGTCTATTGGTGAATTGGATTATCGAACAACAACTTCAGCGAACAATCCATTGTGCTGATCAAGAACGACGGGAAGATTTCGTGAAAGAAGTGTCCAACACTCCACATGTGAATTGGATTCCCTCGGAACATGTTCCATGGTTGATTTTAGAATTAGAAATGAATATCACTATTCGAGAAGTTCAAGTCGATGTTGCGCGTCATATGATCGATCCGAGTCGATCGGATGCTAAAGATAGTCAAGTGAAAAACATCGTCATGCAAATGAACATGGGCGAAGGAAAAACATCGGTCATCGTACCAATGTTGGCACTCAGTCTCTGTTCATCAACATCGAGTTTAGTTCGCATCATTGTTTTGAAATCCTTACTGATTATGAATTATCAATCATTGAGATCGAAATTAGGCGGTCTTCTGAATCGACGAATTTTTCCCTTTGCCTGCCGTCGTGATATGGATTTCAATGCATCACAAATCGGTCAAATCTTTCAACATCTTCGACAAGGATTGAACAGAAGAGATATTATCTTAACTGCACCGGAATATATTCTCTCCTTCGATTTACTGACTATCGATAAATGTCGACGAAAGGAATTCCAAGTCGGCCGGTCGATGTTAACCGTTCAGCAGTGGCTCAAACGATTCGCTCGTGATGTTTTGGATGAGTCAGATGAAATTCTTCATGTTAAATATCAACTAATTTATACCATTGGCAGCCAACAACCTGTCGATGCTGGGGCACAACGTTGGAAAACGATTCAATTGATCTTAGAATTGGTGAAGAAAAACGCTGAAGATGTTGCGCGAAACTACAGTAAAGACATTTCCTATGAAAAAGCGTCACGATCGAGTCATTTTCCATCCTTTCGGTTGTTGTCACATCAACCGTTTCCAAGTCTAGCTGAAAAAATAGCCAATGATTGGCTTAGTGAACAGTCCTATCGTCAAGAAGAACGTCAACTTCTCTTATCGTTCATTTTAGAAACCAATGCATCGATCGAATGTCTCAACAATCGATTCTCACAGGATATTTTGCAACGAGTTCTCATTATTCGTGGTCTTCTTTCATCAGAAGTGTTGTTTGTGGCATTGACCAAACGTTATCGCGTTAATTTTGGTGTTAATCCCAATCCGAAGTTCAATCGTCGCATGGCCGTGCCGTTCCGTGCCAAAGATGTCGCAGCTGAGAACACCGAATTCGGCCATCCGGACATTGCCATTGTCTTAACTCAATTGTTCTACTACTACGATAGTTTGACTAATGAACAGATGCTACAATGTTTCCGACGTTTGAGTGACGGTGAAAAACATCCGGAAGAAATCTATCACGAATGGATCTCTTACGAAGATGACGATCATCTAGATCCGAGTATCAAAACATGGGAAGGGATCAATTTAAAAGATGATCAACAGAGAACGGTTCATCTCTTTCCAACTTTTCGAAAGAATATGTTAGTGATCAATTACTTTCTCAATCATTTCGTCTTTCCTCAAGAAGCGAAACAGTTTCCTCAGAAATTAATTTCTTCTGCTTGGGATTTATCATCGGATCGTCGAGCAAAAATCACCACTGGTTTCAGTGGTACCAATGACACTCAACTATTGCTGCCGATTCACATTGGTCAGTGGNAACAGAGAACGGTTCATCTCTTTCCAACTTTTCGAAAGAATATGTTAGTGATCAATTACTTTCTCAATCATTTCGTCTTTCCTCAAGAAGCGAAACAGTTTCCTCAGAAATTAATTTCTTCTGCTTGGGATTTATCATCGGATCGTCGAGCAAAAATCACCACTGGTTTCAGTGGTACCAATGACACTCAACTATTGCTGCCGATTCACATTGGTCAGTGGGACTTGCCCAAACTCGTGAAAACCGATGCTGTTGTTCTCAACAATTTACTTCGACGAGAAAACGAATTCTATCGATCATTACCGATCAGTGTCACAATCAAAGAGATTTTAGAACAAATCGTCAATGATCGACAACGTGTTCAAGTCATTCTTGATGTCGGTGCACTTTTTGTCAATGGCAGCAATCGTCAAATAGCAATTCAATGGTTAGAAAAGTCGAACAGAGCCCAGATTGATTACGCTGTCTATTTTGAATCCGACTCGCTTTACGTCTGCGATCGACAGAATCAGCATCATCCTTTCGCCACTTCTCCAGCGAGCGAACGACTTGAACGTTGTGTTTTATATTTGGATGAAGTTCACACGCGAGGAACAGATTTCAAGTTTCCCAATGGATTTCGAGCTGCTGTCACATTGGGCAATGGCTTAACCAAAGATCGATTTGTTCAAGCTTGCATGAGAATGAGAAAATTAGGCAAAGGTCATTCGTTAAGTTTTTACAGTTCCCATGAAGTTGATCAACGAATTCGCTTGCTGAAAAAGAAGTCACGTGAACAAGAACAGAACAGGCTGACCGATATCCTCCGTTGGGTCTATGAGAACACTCAACAGGCCACTTGGGACGGGCTGCATCATTGGGCTACGCAAAGTCTCAGTTTTCAACGAAAAATTGCTGCTTTTCAAAATATTCAACGGACCAATGAACAACAACAGTTTACCGAGCTGATGATGAATCAGTTGCCTTTAGATTGTGTCGAACCAGAAGTTTTGAAGTTACACCAGATGTATGGAATGCCAAAATCAAGGCAGAAGATAGCAGAAATTCATCACTCTCGTTGTCATTATTTCAGCATCAAATTATCGTCTGAAATCAATGCTGTTGTCCTGAATCGATTGGAATTTTATGGCGGATCGAAGACACTTCTTGCCCATTCATTGGATGAAGAACAAGAACGAGAATTGGAACGAGAGGTCGAGCAAGAAGTGGAAGAAGAACGACAGCAGGAACGACCAACACCACCCGCTTCACATGAACCGATTTTACATGATGAGATAAAAAGATTAAGCGATTCACAAGGTCCTATGATGAACTTGGCTCAGCTTTCNCTGAATCGATTGGAATTTTATGGCGGATCGAAGACACTTCTTGCCCATTCATTGGATGAAGAACAAGAACGAGAATTGGAACGAGAGGTCGAGCAAGAAGTGGAAGAAGAACGACAGCAGGAACGACCAACACCACCCGCTTCACATGAACCGATTTTACATGATGAGATAAAAAGATTAAGCGATTCACAAGGTCCTATGATGAACTTGGCTCAGCTTTCTTCATCATTTTGTCCACTTCCTCAAGCCTTTCTTGACACTACCTTCTTTTCACACAGTCAACCCTCCAGTTGGAGAAAAAATTTCTGGATTTCAAAGGAATTTCAACGTGTCATTAAAACACGAGGAGAATCATTAGACGCATTTTTGCGACCTCCACGATGGGTGATCATCTATCGTAATGAACATGTTATCTTCCTCAGTCCCTACGAAGCGAATTGGTTGATCGGTTCACTTCAGCACTCGTATCAGAAGCTCAAAGTCACTCAACCATCTACGACAACTCTACGCCTGCTTTTACCACGCATGAAACGGCATCAATCGATCTTAGTCAATACACCAACTCTGTCTATTCCTGCATCGCTCTTCTCTATTCCAAACAATTACTTGGCGCAATTATTTGTTTTCAATGGCACTCTCTACTTCGACAATGCCGAAGAGCAACGAGCCTATTGCCATTTCTTAGGCGTCTGTCCGAAACCTCGAACAAAGGATGAGCAGGAAGCTTTTGAGAAAGGCTGGATAGATAACGATGGATTTATCGGAAAATCAGAACATCGTTGTCTTTTGCAAATGGATCAGTGCGGTTTCAACTCTAATCCATTGACCTTAGTCCGAAAAATTCTCGAAAGTCGATATAGATCTCACATTCCCAGTAGGTCGCATGTTGGCGCGATTATTCTCGATGCAACGAAACTTTTGTCTTGAGTATCATACAGTAATTGTGTGATGTTTTTTCTTTGATTTAATCGTATTATGAATAAATGATCAAACTCAAATACTCTTGAAAAGAAAACATTCGTCTATCGTTGAATTAGATTCGTTTGTAGAGGCAGAGGCCACCGATGATTAATAGTAAATAGATAAAGAGACTAAGCCAAAGACAATTGATTGAACGAGCTAGTGTATGGCATAGCAAAGTGTCCGTCTTGTGGATAGTGGGTAATGGTAATGGACATGTGTCGATAGTGGATTCGAGAAATTGTTCGAAGTAGTCTTGGAACTAAAACGAGTAGGAAAAAAACTGAGGAAATCTCCATATCTGATTCATCTTTTCTCGACTTACGGAATTAATCGTTTGATTGACTCGATCGGATGATATGGTTGGAACAGCATCGGTGATCTTATCGAACTTTATTTCGATCACCCTTCAATCATTTTCAATCTGTTGTACTTTGCTCTGGATGGTGCTTGAATTGACCACCTGAGAAAATCGAGTGAGTCAAGCACACCAAGATCTGTTTCGACCTTGCTTAAGAGTCTTATCAGTTGATTTTGCATAAAAAGAATGATTTAAAAGACTAATCAGTTCAATAATATACATGATTGTTTTTAAAAAAATGGAAAAAACAGGAAATTCGATTTTTTGGGGAACATGTAGTGAAGTAGAGTATGTGAAAGAGATTGTCTGGTTCTGTCGACATGAAATATTTCAAAAATATCACGAGCGAACAAGAAGAAGTAGAGTTTCATTACATTTGTCGATATAACAAGTCGTGTGCTTCCCATTGATCCAGTTCGTCTTGAAATAATTTGAATTGTTCTCGAGTAGGATATGTTTCTCGATCGTTCACTTCTCTAATTTGATACCATTCTAATAGGTACATGTACTCTAATTAATGGGCATCGAGATATCTGCTCTTGTACGTCTGCTATATACGTTCTTTAAATGAATTGAAATGCCGACAGATGATGTTGAAGCGTTGTTGTTCTGGTTGCTCTTCTCGTTCTCGCTGCTGTCGACGTTCTTGTGATGGCTCATATCGTCGCTGATTTCTTTCTCTATGTCGAAGCCACCGCTCCTGTTGTTGTTGTCGTTGTTCTTCTTGTTGGTGTTGAAGTTCTTCTCATTGTTCTCTTCGTCGTCGACGCTGTCTTCGTCGAGCTTGCACCGTCTGGTTACATCATTAATTGCTTCGACGTCAGGAATTGTTGGATTTTGACTAGGAATCCTGTTTGTCGTATTGAACTGTAACAGTGGTTGATTTACAGTAATAGTTCCAGTCGGTAATGGTTGATGGATATTGGATTCGTTGTTGTTGTTGCCGACCAATGTTTCGAATGGAGTGATACCGGTTTGACTGTTGTCAGCAGCCATGATGAAAAACCTGCTATAATAAGAAGACTTTTGTCTGATCATACTCATCCGTCTGCAGGACTAAAACATACTCACATTAAATTAACTGGTCTTTGTTTTGAAAATGTTTTTGTTCAAATAGAGTAGAGGGTGAGAACAGCTACTATAATCTATAGATTTCGCTTCAACAACGAAGATTATCAGGATGCGGGTGTGGTCAGTTGGTGTGGATGTAGTTGAGCAGAAGTCTGACATCCACACCTCACATCCATATCCAGACGAAGTTTTGATAGATAGCGTCACTTGACAGCTGATGTTTATTCATTACAAGTACAACTACAAGTGCCATGTACAAATTAAAAATAATTTAACGATTTAAATAGTAAAGAGCTTACCATTTTAACTGTGAGAAAGAATTAAAAGACTTTTTTGATGGAATGCCAAGAATGTTTTCTGTTAGGCACAGTTTAACTTGAAACAATCGGTGAGCTTTCGTTAAAAAATTGTTTTTTAAGGTGTTTTCATGACTATAAAGGTAGGATCTTTATTCGCTCAATAGATCACTTGAGGCTGTAGGTGTGAGAGTAGCCTTATCTTCTTCAATCACACCCAACCACACCCAACCACACCCCATAAAGAAACTTGTTCTTCGAGTATGCTTTTTTATGCTAAGATTTTGATGGATAGATGAATTTAAGAATGTTTCAGTGCTTCAACACTGGTCCGACAGTCAATATTGGAAAGAAACCAGTACATTCATATAGTTCTCTAATAATACATCAAATATTTTTTACAGGAGACGATGTAGTTTTATATACTGCCGTTATTATTGAATCAAACAGAATATTAACTTAGACTCAACATATCAGTTATTGAATCAAAAAAAATCTATATCGTACAGTGTAACAATAAAGATAATTGAGCATTATAGTAGAAACATAATTGACCATCACAAAAAAAAATTAAGCCAGTACAAAAATATGATTGAGTCATTATAAAATCTATTTTTTCGTTAATAAAACTATCAGGACCACTATAAACACGACAATAATAAATTTCCGTAAGTATTTTTAATATTTTGATATGTCGCTCGATAACCATCTGCAAAGAGCTTCATACCAGCCCTGGACATTGCCGTACCAATGAGAATTGATCATCATTTATGCACTAATACTAATCGTAATAATGAACGTTAATGTAAATGTTTCAAGCTGAAAAACTCAAACCAATTACATGAAAACCGCAATCAACCGAACGATGTTTTCAGAAGATCGATTAGTAGCCGCTATTTGATCTAAAAATATTATTGTTTCACACAAGTTGAGTTTAATTCGTTTACTTTGTGCAACATTGCGTAGATGTCCTTGTTGTATTGGTAGCGGTGGCTGTGCTGGTGGCCGAAAAACATTATTATCATTTATGACATTATCTAAATTTTGTCTCTAGAATAGCAAAAAAAGGTATTGTTTGATCGGATAACATTCATATATTATCTGATCGACTTCAGGGAAAACAAGACAGCTGAGAAAGACATGTGCAGGCGAATCCAGAGAATGTGAAAAATACCAAATCTATCAACATTCGTGGTGGAGCTAGCAAGAGAGTTAGAGAGAGCTGAGCCCTCCCCCCCCCCCCCCCCCCCCCCCCGCTTCTATGTTTCAAAGTATGGTAGACATTGTTCATATACTATCAAAGACTGTAAATCAATAAAGCCTCATTATAAACATATGAACTACTTCCTTATTGAATTTCTCGACGATTAAGTCAAAGGATGCTAAAGAGATGTGTCCTACAATAGATAGTATTAAACAATCTCCCTAGATCAGCGACAACAGCTACGCTGTGTTTCGTATTTTTAATCCTGGATGCATTGCACTAATAGTTTTTTCAGAAAGATTGTAGAAAATGCGGCAATCATTCATTTTCTTCAGAGTTTTGCACTCTTTAAGATGGCATTAATAAATAGATAATTTCTATAAAACTTTCGAGAAGCTAAAAATTACCGTTTTCAGTTTTTAGAAATCTTTCATTCATCGTACATCTTTATATGTTACTCAAATCATTATGGAGTTTTGAACTAGAAATTTGACACTATAGATAAAAAGCAAACATTTAGTGTACTCAAAAAAGCATAATCCTTTTAATAGCTTTAAATCGAATGGTCTATTATTTATTATAGGTTATTGAAAACAAGGTTTATGATTTATTTAAATAAGAAGATATGTGCAAATATTTTTTCTTTTAATAGTTGTGTGAAAAGAAAATGTTTTTCATATATTATGCGAATCTTCATTATTTATTCATATGACTCAAATCAAAGAAGAAAAACATTGTTTCTTTCGAGTTTTTTTTGTTTACATTGTTAATAGAAAATATCTACATGATCTTTGGAACTTTTTTCAATTGTTTTATTTTTTAATCGTTCACCTGTTCCTTTCGATAGTAATCAGACATGTAATCATGACTTAATGAGGAAGTATTTGCAATCATTGTTTTCATAAGCACCCTCGGAAAACTGATAGATATGTGATTTTTTGATAAACATGTATGTATGTATATATATATATATCAATAGTACATACCGAACTTATTCAACAAGCTATATTTTCAATTTTTTTGTCTGTTTTTGTAAGCGCGAAGAATCCAAATACTGAATCAAAAAGAGAAAATGGTTTCCAACAATAAGATGAAGAAATAAAAATTATTATAAGGTTTCCAAAAGTAGGGACTTCAGAAGATCAAAGCTTTAGTTTTTCAGCACTTAGAATGTTTTATTAGAATTTTATTTAAACTATATAGAACACTCGATTAAATAATTCTATACAAAATGAAATGTCTCCGAGTTTTCTTTTGTTTTTTTAGTTGAGATACAATAGTTTGTTTGAAGGTCATAAAATAGCTTTGCTATCGGAAATTGGAAAAAAAAATTACTTTGGAAACTTCCGTAAGATTGCTATATATCACCTAAGAAATGCCATAGAAAACTCGGAGACGTCTCATTTTGTAGGCAATTATTTACTTTGTCGTTCTATGTAGTCGAAAAAGAAATTATATTTGCGTGTTATAAGTGCTAAAAAACTAGTCTTTTGATTTTCTGGAGTCGCTATCATTGGAAACCAGACAATCATTCTGTATGATCAATTGTGAAGCCACTGTATATATCAGTCAAAAAAAAAAAAAACATGTTTTCGGAGCTTTTCGGAATTGAAAAAGTTTAACTCCGCAGGATTGTAAAGTCGAATTATCAAAATATATTAACAAATTAATATTCTTTAATGTTGGTTAACGCATTCCGATTGGGATTCAAAAATGCTCAGATCAAATTGTTCTTTACCAGACCAAAAATAAATTGATATCATTCTAGTTTTTCGAACACAATAAATTCTACATGAAAATCTATCCATTTAACTTCTAATATTTTCTATTCTATTTGAAATAACTCTTATCATAAACAAAAGTATTTGATTTTATTCAAAAAAAAAAAAACTAATCATTCGACAATCTATCTCTATCTTTGAATTAATAGATAATTAACAATCAAAAACAAAAATCTATATAATGTCAAGAAGAAAAAAATCCCATTCAAAATGATAATTTTTATGTCAAAATATTCATATGAATTAATTATTCCAAATGAAAATGAAAAGTTGTTTGTTCATGATATTCTTCATCAGGACGTAGAATAATACTTGAAAATAAAGGCTAAAAATATAAATATAAAATCAATTGATTTATATTTAATAATAATATATTTACTTGATTATTAACGCTATCACTATAATTTTGAGTTTCTAAACAGAATCCACCATGTTTATTATATGCTACACTATTACGTCCTTTACCACCATCAAGAAAATTTCCTGTATAAAATTGAAGACCTTTTTGAGTTGATTCAATAGTTATTGCTCGACCACTTTGTTGATGAATAACTCTAATGATAAATAAATACAAGAAGAAAAAAACAACACAAAACAACATTTCGATGAATTAAACTTTTATTAAACTCACTTGCCAAATGGACGTTTTCCATTACCATCAATGATAAACATTAGATCATAACCATCAAATGATTCATTCATACGATCACCAATACGAGTCAATGTTCTAAAATCATATGGTGTATTTTCTACTGATGCTATTTTTCCTAAATAAAATGTAAAATTAATTAAAAAAAAAAATTATTAATAATAAAAACAAAAAAAAGAAAAGAACATTACCTGTAGGAATAAGATCATCATCTAATGGAAGGAACTCTTTAGCTGGTACCATAAATTGATGATCAAGTACCGATCCGCTTGCCTAAACAAAATCAAAGTTCTACAATATATATATATATATAGGGTGTTCCAAAAGTCCGGACCGATTAGAATATTGAATATCTCCACCGCTCTTTCATCAAATGAGCTAATTTTTACCCTGGTGGTAGAGGATTCTTTGAAGTTTTTTTTTTCATAAGAAAACCATGAATACATACTGCTTTGAACTATCTCTTTTAACTTCAATATCGGAATGTATCCATTTTCGACTTTTCAAAAAATGGTTTCGAGCGAGAATCCCCGAGATGATTAAAAGCTTTTGTGTGATCAGAAGCTTTTGAAACAATATTTCTCCCATTGCTAGAGGACCACT